AGCTAGCGGAATTTCGAGTAATCTTATTACAGCACGAAACACTGCAAAAATGCATGATCGCACGGGGATGCCTGCCGCGTCACCAATGATTTTTGCTATAGAATGCCTGTGGGCAGAGAACTGGAGGATGTGACATGATATATGGGAATTAGTTTCATCTTAACGTGATGATTTCTGAAATCACGTGTAAAGACTTAAGTTATTGCTTTATATGCTATGATTATGATGAAGTAATATCACACAATAAGGTCAAATCTTTTAAACCCAATATTACTAGGTGGTACGAAACTGTAGAATTATTTTCGCATTTCTTGACTTCTGCATGAACGAAGACAGTGATTTCAAAATCTTCATTCTCTGGCTTTCGTAGTTCCAAAGTTAATTTAGGCTGACACACACACACACACACATACTTTCACAGCACGATCTTACCATACTGCTTTTTTGTTACATTTTGTTACTATGACTCAAAGACGTACAAAAATTAGGTAATTTAGCAATCGCAGATGCTCGATTAATTTTGACTTCTGCAAAAAATTGCCTCAACCTCTCAATAGAGACTTCTAACTTTCGACTTTTTAATAAAAGAATAGTGTCTTCTTCTGGTCATATTTTTGTGCTGGTACGAAAGGTAGTATCTGGCACTGTTTCTTTTATTGCAGGCTTTGGAGAATAAGATCAAGCAGTGGTGTGTGGATGCTGGCTGCGATGTAACTTATTCTTTCATCAAGGCATGTGCACATTCATAGGGTTCAGTTCCGTTTGTCTAATTACCGGTCTAGGGTGGCATTTTCCGACCAGTTGCTAAGTATTTTTCAGAATACAAGAATCAAGGCAATGACGCCAGTAACCGACGATGATCCATGGTGGCACGCGATCTCTTCAGTTTTCAAAGAACTGTATGTTGCTGCTTCTGATAAATTCAGTATTTGATTCTGTTGATGAATTCTACGCCTTCCGCATTTCGAAAATTAATTTTCAGAGATCAGCAAATATCGGTAGAGATATTTCCAGGAGCAACGGACTCTCGATTCCTGAGACAGGTTTGCTTAATTTTGTTTATAAGATTCACTTCATCCAAAGTCGAAGTTTCAAAAATTCCTATGCAAAGATAGAAAAAAGTTTTAAAAGAATGGACACTGTGCTGCGGTATAGCTCATTTGATCATACTGTTTTTTCCATAATTCACCTCACTAAAGAGGCTTTGCAACTTGATAAATTTCGTTGTATTTAACATTTTTCAGAAGGGAATCCGATCAATCGGATTTAGCCCGATAAAAAACACGCCGACACTTCTTCACGCTCACAATGAGTACATTACTGAGAAAGGTTTTCTGGATGGCATATTGATTTACGAGAAATTGATCGAAAGGCTTGCCAATCTTCCAGAACAGTGATGTGTTCTGCATAGGAATTTACTCCTGACTTTGTTTAGAGCCAGAATTTATCATTTTTTCGTTTGGACTTGTTTAATGTTCGTTAGTTTAAGTGATAATACAGTGTTATTATTATTATGGTTCATCATTCCAATTTCCACGGAACGTGCCATGTGCATTTCATCCTCTAAATAAAACGTCCATCAGCGAATGCTTCCAGCTGAGCAGAAGATGATCATATCGCCAGTGAAACTGATAAACGCGATCATGTCCGGCACAACATGTTCACAGATAAATCAGCAGGGGCGATAGGAACTAGTGACCAGTGTCAGTGAAAGGGAAGCAGATGCAGAGTTCTCATATCGAAATTATCGTTGGCGGCAGTCAGTCTAAACGAGGATTTCGGATCTAGAAATGCAGCGCTTCTTTTCGGGTGTCTTTTGATTTCTTAGACGGATGTTCTATCTTCTTGGATGTCCTTTGAGTGGTCAGACTGGCGCTGTGTTGATATATGCTCGGTACATCTTATTAGGCTGATGCTGTCAGGCCAAATGAAACTCCAGTAAGCCAGTGCTGTGAACAATAAAATAATTTTTAAGAAAATCCGGATTCAGAAGACCGGGCCGGGGTTGAAAATCGGGTTGATGAAATTATGTCTCATTTGTTATGCGTTTTTTGCAGCACTGCAATGCGAAAAACGCATATTGACGAGAGGTTGTCTGTGTGTCAGTGTGTGCGTCTGTCACACACTTTCATCTCAGGACCTATAAAAGCTGCGGGGCTGAAATTTCGGGA